ACTACTACGACTACTGCGACGACTACTACAACCCTACCCCTACCACTACCACTACTACTGCTAGTAGCAACAAAAGCTGGACACAGTCTCAAGGAACGTCAGCGAGGTGGAGTTCTTGCAGGCACTGAAGGAGTTCGGCTACGAGCAACGGGACAAACATTTGTTCCATGCGCTCCTCGGCGGTGGATTAGGCGGCTCCCAGCAAATGGTCCTCTTACATCTGTCCAAGGGCATTAAGCACAAGTTGCTTCGATCGGGGATGTGCTCGCGTCCGACGTGTCGGTGTGTGATTACTGTAAGGCTGGACAGACACGGCAAGAAGAAGATCAACCTAGAGGACAGAGAATGACAGAACACGTCGAGGTTGTGATTGATGCACGCGTGGACCTTGAACCTAAAGGCTGCAATTGAGTGCGAGCACAACTTGGAAGCTCACGAACATTCAGCCTGCTCGACTTTCCGGTATTCGCCTGGCTGGTGAAACGCTCCATTTGCTCGAGTTGAACTCACCGCTCGAATGACAATGAGAACCATCGTTCAGCGCAAGAGTGACGAAACATGGGAAAACAGCAGCCATAGTTATGCGCGCATACTACCATGCCCTGGCTGCCAGGACATCCTGTTCCTAGACAGCTGGAAGCCCATGGAGTTCCTGCTTGCTAGCCCGAGTCTCGAGTCAGCCCAGAACTTCAAAAACAGGCTGGCAGGGTGGGATAAGTAAGACACATATGTGCTATAGCCATAGTACACGAGACTGACCTCCAGTGGCGTAGCGTGTTAGAACACAGCCTTTGATGACATACTGTATGCGATTGGTTTCGGTCACGGCGTTGTAGTACAACGCCAAAAGCTTCAGCAATGACTGTCGTGGCCCTGCGTGAGACTTCGGGAGAAGTTCGGTACCTTTCTCCGTGCTTGGAAGATGTGACTTGACTGCCACTTTGGAACTGAGTCCAGCTGACAGGCATCAATAAGTCTTGCTGCTTACATATACTTTGCCTTCTGTACTCGCTATGGTGATCAACAGTGACAGTATCAGTACCTTGTACTTCCTACTGTCACGGCTGGTGACGGCTAGCACCCGGTTGTTACGGTGATAATAGAGTGTTAATGTCATGGTGGCTAGTATGCCGGTGTCGCTAATGTTGCCGACGACATGAGCGATCATTCCTATTGCCAGTGCCTCAACTGCTGTCTTTGTTTTTGGGTATTGCTGTTGACCACATGGCGTTTTTGGGACTTCGAGAAAGGCTTAGTGGTAGCCGCTGGCTTCTTGCTGCTGCTGCTGCTGCTGCTGCTGCTGCTGCTGCCGCTGCTGCTGCTGCTGCTGCTGCTGCCGCTGCTGCTGCCAATGCTGCTCCGGTGTTATTGACTTACATTCTCATTCCGGCTAGTTGTCGGAGAGAAGTTACAGTTACAGGTCGTCTCTGTTTGTTTGCTGTTGCCTTCGAGAATCTGGGCATTTGCGTGTTCAAGGGTCCCCAATCGGGAGGTGCCAAGATGGACAAGGAACGACGATAATTGTAGGCGCTTTGCAGCCCGCCAGGGGCGAGTTCGGTGGAGAATTCTGCCAAATGCTGCCAGCTGCACGAGCGTCACTAAACCGAAAATGACTACTATTACTACACGGCCACTGACCTCACCCAGAACCCCGAAATGCTGAGGGTCTTGGACATGGATGGTAGCAACACGTGCCACTGAGCCGCAAGCAGAGTTTGCTGCACCGGCTGTGCCATGCATGATGCATGTTGAGTCATGAGGTGTTCCAATGCTAAGGCACTTGGGAAGAGTTCCGACTTACCTGCAAAAAGATTGGTGCCTTTGCTCCATAATTTCCGTCACGGGCAGGCCAATCCCTGCACACCACAGATCCGAGAGTGTTCGCAGCCGTGAACACATACGTTTGCCAATGCTCATGCGCAAGTCAGGTTTCAAGCACGACATCGCTGGAGCCTGGAGAGCGCTTGATCAGAAAATGGCAGGATAGCCTTCAACCGCATCACTTTTGCTTTGTACTGGCATTGTCAATGGTCATCTGCCCAGACTGTGACACAGTGCGAAGAGAAGCCGGAGGAACAATCAACCTGTCCGACATCGACCCAGCTTCCAGCTCCGTACTCTTGGCCATTTGGTGATGCAAGGAGATTCCACTTTAAATGAGAGGGACTGAGTCAGATACTCTCGAGGGCAACTACAGCTACGTCAGAGAGTCGATGAGAGACGGAAACTCACCGGTGAGCGTGTTGCTGCCAATCCTACGTGCAGCAGCTACGTGCCACATGGCGGTATGGGTCCCATTCGGGAGAGGGGAGTGTATAAGATTGTATATCCATCCAGTTGGAGGTTGAACTTCTGCACCGATAAGTTCCCAATCGCAGCGCCTGCAACTTAGGACTTCCGAAACTGGGCGATGGAGGAGTTTGGCAGCGTACGAGCGATGTTCTCTGCACCTCATCTCGCAACTGGCAGGGAAACCAAAAGCACAATGACGCCGAATAACACCGCCCCCGGGCAATTGTTGGGATGTGCTATCACTTGCCCTGGTTGTGTAGTGGAAGCACGTTTCCTATGAACTGGACGGGGCGGTCCGGTACATCCAACCTCGACTTCAGGTCTTCGATGAGGATGGCTCCAAATCTCTGTCTCTGAAGGAGTTCAAGAGAGCATGCCGGATATATGGGTTTCGTGGCAATCTGAGCCTTGTCGAGCTTTAACCGTTTCTTGAGGAGCGAAGGCATGCTTGGGGTGATCTAGACACAACTTGTGTGCTGTCGGATGCGAGTGCCTCACACAACATGTGGGAGGTCTGTGTTTTGGTTTTGGGCTTGCGTTTTCCAGAAGACCATTAGTGCCGCAACTCGTCCCCCTACCTACCAAGACGCCACGTTTATCTATCATTTTTGATACATCAGATCCTTTATACATCTGACTACTACATCTGACGACGACGACGACGACTGCTACTACTGCTGCTGCTGCTGCTGCTGCTGCTACTGCTACTACTACTACTACTACTACTACTACTACTGCTGCTACTTGTACCGTTACTGCTACTCCTGCTGCTGACCACCTGCGCTGGCTTTCCAAGGAAAGGCCTCTTCAATATCCTCGACGGTACGGGTACTGGCACATTGTCAGTAGACGAGCCACGACTTGACATGGCATGCTGCAGTCTCTCTTGACAACAGAAGCTTGAGAACCCAAAGCTCCATCAAGATGTGTTGCACATTTTTCGCTTCACGGATGTCCCTAAGCTGTTCAAACGTGCTTATTCCAGGAAGTCGTCTTCTTAGACCGCTGGGCCACGCAGACTGAAGACTCTTGTCAGCGCTGGACGTCTACACGCACGCGCTGTCGGTATCATGTCACATACCTGGAACTCTGGTGTTCTATGCAGACTGTCGTGCAGGCCGATATGGAGAAGGCGGCCGACTCGATGTCGCGATTGCCCAGCCTCTTGCCTGCGTGAATCGTGGGACCTCATCAGAAGTTTGAATGACGAGAGGCTGGCTTAGAAGGGCTGTCTGCATAGCCAGCGTGGTCAAGATTTGCTAGATACAGCAAGTGTGAGCGAGGCATCATCAAAACAGGGCAAGACAGCGTCGCAGAGGAGGTGGCGGGTCCTGGCCAAGGTGGGAGTACCAACAGTTATGATACTCCATTCAATACATCAACATCCATAATACATACTGGTTTTTGTAGCATACACACCTCAAAAATCCCCGACATGCACAGTAACACCCCGAAATGCGAAAAACCCTCATCAACAACAAACAAACCCTGAAAGCCACAACTCCGTTAAGACGCTCATGATGTCATAGAACCCTGGCAGAGCCCCTGCGGACCCGTCATCTTAGACCCTGACAGAGCCCTTATGCAACCCTTACTACAGAAGTTCTGTTCTCAGCGACTACCAGGACGTTTTCCGCAGCAGCGTGAGTTATCGGGCTGACAGCGCCTGTTTTTCAGTGTGCGAGAGCCCAAGCCTTTGGCAGGTCAAACTGTGGCTAAGGCCTTGGAGGCAGGGAACCTTGAACAGTCAGTTTCGTGCACTGCAAATGGAAGCTCGGAATTCGCGCAGATGTCCATACTGGTGGCTTCTTGGCTCTGAGAGTTCCATGCAGCCAGAGTTGGCACATATACCAGGGGTTATGGAATGCTGCAGGGCATAGGCTTGCATGATCAAGTGACAAAATGTAGCTGCACTGAAATGCAATGCTGCCAACATGAAAAAAGCTTCAGCGCTGGTCGTGCCAGGCCGGTAGCTGGAAGGACGGCGACCTCCACCCGGCCTTTCGCACCTGGGCCAACTGCCGGCGACGCCGACCTGTACCTGGATTGAACTTGAGCTGAAACCATTCGGGGCGTAGTCGTGTTTGATGCGTTTCCCACACAGAGACCGAAGAATCTTGCGGTCGGCGGCAGCAGCATGTTATGGACAGGGTTTCATGTTGCACATTCTAGCCCAAAGCGAGCAGCTTTTCTAGAAATGCCCGAATTTGAAGGGATGCAGTTGGATATGTTGGATGGGCGCTGATGACTCACGCATTGTACGGTCTGACCATGGCCACGGTGGCAATCATGCGCAATTTTCCATGATGGCGGGATGTCAATCAGCGCAGCATATCCTAGTAGGTCCTAAGACTGAGGTTCAAGGTCACTGAATGCACATACGCCGCCACCCTCGCGATGGAAGTTGTCAGGAATTTATGCTTTTCCCTTCCGCTTCAGGTCAAGAAGCAGGATGGGTCCCTGCCACCCTTAGCATCGCAGCTGGATTTCGGCGATGCAAGGGTCGTCCGGGGCTTACGCACGTGCTGCAGGATCTACACTATGACTCGAATTCAAGGCGGACCCGAGGCACCCTAGAATCATCAGTTGGTTTGGGTGAGAGTGGTCGCCGAAAGTCATCAACCTCATTGATGTCGGGTGCGTGTTTCGCGAGTGGGCCTTGGCCATCTAGTTCCTCAAAGTAGGCGCCAAAAGAACCCGAGGTCCGAAGACCTGTCCTCCTTATGGCCTACGTGCCCGAGGCACAGCATGAAATTGGCAATCTCTTGGAGTATATCCTACTGACCTACTGCTGAGTGCAGCCCTATCTTGTCAGGATGGAGACAGAATAAATAGGAAAACTTCCGAGCGTCAAAGTGTCAAACAGCATTGCAGCGGCAGACGAGGTATAAAGCACAGGAAGCATGGGGTGGTGGAACACGAGTTATTACCGTCTTTCAGCTTGTCGGATACACAAGCCCTTCATGGACATGATGTGCCTTAGTAGCGCTTAGCTGTAGCTCGTTGCTGCCATTCTTACCGTTCTTAACATACGCTTAACATCATGATTACTGTATCTATTCAGCATCTACTGTGATAATTCGGCTTGTTATTATTACTACAGAGCTACTGCTACTATTGCTAGTATGAGCATAATGACACGACAAAATATATCACTGCGAACACGATTAGGAAGCAGCCCGCAGGAGGTCGCTTGTGAGATCCAAAGCGCCCGCCTGCCAAAGATTCATCGAAAGGCTCGCCGATGCCTTCATTTGCCTTCAAGCCGCGCTACACTTGTCGCTCTTGCATTGTTTTTTTTGCTGGTGGCGTGATGAACAGTAGACAGACTACCACCTAAGCGTGTTGATGTCGTTACTTCCTGCGCTTTCGCTAGTTGTGATAGAGCTTTCAAACGTAGCAATCATGCTAAGTTTGCTAAGGCGAAGGGATTGAAAGTATTGCTGCTGCCCTGATCATAGCAGCCCGAATGTGTACCCCAACACGGCCTCGACCAGGGCGCACCATGCCTCACTCATGTCGCATGAAAGACCCCGTTGCAACTCATTGGATGTCATTGTATACCACTTGCTTGACAACAACGGAAAGTCGAAACTAAGAGCGGCTTCAAGTCAACTCAACTCCACACTGGTTCTGTGCCCACTGGTTCGAGGCAGGTTTCAGAGCTGAAGGCTTGAGAACTGCCAGATGATCACGCTTCCCTCAGGACGAAGGGGCATGAGAGTCTGGGATGGGGATGGGAGGCCCCTCGACATTATCAACCTTTTGGCCGGTAACTTGTTCAGGCGCATTGCTGGCATGTCCGTTCCGCACGACATGATCATACATGTTCAAAGAGGCTGATTATTCATCCAACTCTCTCGTGTCGACTCTTTGTGTTTTCGCAGTGCTGCCGGCTCTGTAGAAGTTGACAGTTCATGTCCGACTGGTTGCATGCGGCCTCAGAAGGCACAGCGGAGTTGGCAGACTCTACATTGACTCTGCATGCAGGGCGTTGTTAATGCTCAGTGGCTCAGTAGCATGATCATTCGTAATAGCGCGGTTATCTGGCACATCATCATCAACATCATCATCATCATCATCTCTCCGATGATTGTGCTCATCAGAGTTGCAGCTGACGTCATCAACCACCGGGAGGACTTGGACTTCGACAAGTTCCCCTGGGGCTTTATTGAAAAGCACGTGGTGAAGGGAGTGGATGACGACCATCTGCCCCTCTTCACTTATGCTTCGCCTGTCAAAAGCAGAGCTAGCTAGGTATTGTTGTGTATCATAAGGCCAGCACTTGTTCCGGTAATCATAAGGAGGACGGTTCCTAGAGGATGAGATCTTCCTTCGGTTCAGCTATCGAACCATACCGCTTCGTGTCAGATGCGGTAGCCTGAAGCTGTTTGCATGCGACGGCCCCCTGAGCAAACTTTCTTCAACAAATTCAATATGGCCTTGCAGGCCAGCAGCCCAGCGGTAAGAGTTGGGCACGATTTTTGTGCACCTGGTTAAAGTAGGCATTGAGACAAGTCGCCAGTGGCCAGCTTCAGTAGGAGCAATCGCTGTGCAGCGTGCTTAGACTGCTCCAGACGGGGCGATTCCTTGTGGAAGCTCCGTTTCAGAGGGCTGCGCCGTTCCAGTATTCAGGAAATTTGGAATTATTCTGGGATGCTGCTGAGCAGCAGTTTCCAGAGCCGAGACGACGGATCATGGTTCTTGCGGATGGCGGAAGAAAACTTGCAGGCGCTCCTTGCGAAAGACAGCGCCCACCAGAGATTACGTGTGGATCCGCGATCGATATGTACTCAGCAGAATCGGAGAAGATGAGCGGCCGCAGTTTGTCAGTACTCGGGGAAGGGGCTGGTTGGGAGGTCAGAGTTCGAAGTTCGACGTCTTCTGTTGTTTGTCAGTCGTTCCCCTAAGGTTCGTATTTTCATGAAGTGAGCAACTCGAATACAGGAGTCACAGTCGTTCCTCGCTCTGAAGTCAGGCACTTGATGGCCTGGGAGCCTGCACCTAATGCCAGAGCCTCTATTCAACTGGCATGGAACAATGCGTGCACAAAGCCTGAGTGCTTACAGGCTTCCACAGGCAAGCATTGAAGGTGCATGTGCGCTGGCTTCGGCTTTGTCCTAAGGCGGAGCAGTTCGTGCTGGGTCTGTTCAAGAAGTCGGGCTCTCTGGTGCACAGGGCACGGTCTCAGCTGTTGCAGCACGCGGCCTGTTGGATATGAGGCATCCTGACCGAAAACGGGATGCGGACCGCTTCCTGAACGGACTTGAGGCCAAGATTCGTGCCAGGAGCCTACAAGTGCGGCGATCCGGCAACAACACCCATCGTCTTTCGCAAAAGCTTATCCCCGCCAAACAGTGGAGGCTTATGGTGGCAAGGTGTGCGTCCGGCTGGCTGCCAAGCAATCTGCTTTCATGCACGGGTGAGTTGCATAGTGGGGGTCCGGAGGTTAGGGAGTTCGCGCGAAATCGCTGCGCAGCGTTGGCAAGCGGCCGCAAACCTTCGCAAGTGTCGCGCAGGTGGCATGTCACAAGCTAAGCTAGGGGGAATTCCACGCGACGAGGCATGTTCAGGTTCCAAGCATGTCGTGGCGCGGTCCTGCAAAGCAGCAAGCCAACGGGGAAGCTCCCAAAATGAGTTCTTGCTGGTTTCTCCTGTCAGTTTGCTTTACATCCTTTTTCTTTCAGGAATGAAAAGCATTGCAGCAATGTGTCAGGTCTGATCAGGTCGATTTGTGGGATATCATGGATGGGAAGGACCACAACGTGGAAGGGGCCTTACAGTGAGACCCACGCGCATGCTGGGCTGTCCTGCTCCCGGACGAAGTGGAAAATCAAGTCGTGGGCAGCCATTGAGGAACCCAACCACTTGAATCCAGCCGTGTTCGACTTTGAGACTGTTCTCGTGGCCTGCTTCAAGGATCTGGAAGCCGTCAGGGCCTCTGAGTGCAGTGCGGTCGCAAGTCTTCTTGGGCAATTCTTCAGACATGCAGCATGCGCACCCGCGGAGCTAAACGGCAAGTCCAGGTGCATTCTTGGTGGTCCTCTGATCAGGCCTTGGCCCTTGGCTCCTCACTTCAAGGGTTAACCCTTTGATTGGGTGTGCTGCTACAAATGCGGGAAGTTGGCAGGTGATTATATGAATGCATGCACCGACGAACTATTTGGCTTTGTGGCCGTGGCTGCTACAGTTCCTCCCAGGTCTTCGAACTCATGAAGCATCGTAGCCCGCTGACGAAGATGAGTCTTCACACGGTCGACGGCGACGTGCTGAGGAAGACTTCTTGTTTCAGATGCAAACGGGTGTGCACGCGAATCTCGCAATGGTGCACGCTTCACATGGGCCCACTGGTATTTGCGAGTTATGGAGCACAACGAGGGGCTGTCAGTTTTGATAGTTCCGACTTGGAGATCAGGTCTTGTGCCGGGCTTCGAGGGCACCAAGAAGAGAGCTGCTACAGGCATGGAAGCGTGAAGAAGTAACAGCAGAACAAAGACTTCGAAGCATTGGCTCAGATTTGCCCAGGTGACAAGTTGATGCTACTGGAGATTGCCAAAGTCGAGTCGTTCAGACCGTGGATGCCTCGGTAGTTGGAGGTGTGAGCACATGGCAGAGGCTCAGCCTGAAGCCCATGGCACGGAGCAGCAGTAGGACTAGCAGCACCCACACGGCCACAGGGGAAGTAGGAATAGCAGTGGGAATCGTGATGTGTTTGTGGTGGCGGTAGTTGCCGTAACAGTAGTGGTGCTGGCGCCGCTGCTGCTGCTGCTGCTGCTGGCGCCGCCCGCCAGCTGCGGCGGGGGCGGTGGTGGTGGGGTCGTAGGAGGCGGAGGAAGAGAAAGAGGTGGAGGAGAAGGAGGAGGAGGAGCAGTAGAGTAGTACAGTTCTTACCACCACGATGACGACTGTAGCTGTTGTAAATAATCCTGTTGCTGCTACGACCACTACTGCCCACCACCACCTGGAGCAGCAGAATTGGGCTTGACATTCTGCTGTAATCACCCCTAGTGTTCGCTGTCGTTTGCTGGTGCAGCTATCCATTGTTGGTTCTTTAGCTATTACCATTTCTGGATCTAGCATAGTTACGACTGCGGCTGTCACGGAATTCTTTATGCCAGCATTTGCGTTTGCACAGGATGCAACGCTACGTGGATATGTACAAGCGATTGGCAGCCAAGGCAAGAGGGACAAGCCGCTCTAAAAGGGTCTGGTTTTCCGGCCAAGCAAGTAGAGGTGGAGTTTAGGCCGCCTGAGCTCGTTCGTTCAAGCTTTACAGCATTTTACAGCGCCGTGGACGACTTCTAGAGGCTCCCAAGGACATCGGGACCATTTGCAACCTGCTTTTTTCAGAAGGTGCGGCACTGAGCACCGTGCGGCACAGAGCAAGTTTGGACCTATGTCTTCGTGACATGTGGAAGCTTGCACTGATCACCGAGGCATCAGTGGCGTTTTAGTGAACGAGTTTCCTGTACAGGCACCGCACTTGTTTGAGTTGCATGCTCCGGCAAGCCAGATAGGCTCGTGCTGTTGAGGAGAGTCCCTCCGAAGGTAAGTAACTTTCAAGTCAACGTTCCTTCTGGCTGGAAGGCAGTTTGCGCGTCGTGCTGGCGAACCAGATCTGATCTGATCTCGTGGTGTGATGCTGAGGATTTCCGAGCCAGGGAAGCAGATGAAGCTGCCATCTGATCGTCAAGTCTTTTGTCTGCATCGATGCGATTCGTCCCATTGGGGAAGGTACGAAGCGCCGAACTACCAGCAGGACCTCATGCCCTTGAGATACGACTTCGTTTGGCCCTGAGCATGTCAACACGTGCGCTCGTCTTTCCGGGCATCGTCGGAAAAGTGTGCCCAATGCTGCAGCCAACGCCAGACCTATCGGAATGCAGCAGCTGGTAACTGGCAAGGTTGAAGTTGCCGTGGTTTTTGCCATTTGGAGATGTTGTGTGAAGCTGCCCAAGCCACCGAGGCGAGGTGCTTTACCGTCGCGGTTCCGATGTACGAAGAGAGAAAGGAATCTAGCGAAAACCTCAAGCAGCAGCCCAAGTTGCTGTTTGGATGACAGAAGATTCCTCATAAGTCACGTCCAGACTTCTTGGCACTTTCGGAATGATCCTGCTGTTGTTTTACAAGCCGCAGCCTCGATGCAGCCTGAAGCTCCTTTCCATGGACAGGAGAAGAGGGTCCGCAGCTGCTGGGATGAAGCTGAGAGGCTTGCAGGCGTAATGGCCGCAACGACTCTTGGCGAAGTGCCAAAACCAATTAGACAGATTTCTGGTGAGAACGGGGCGCATGCGAAGCATGAAACCTCGTGATCACTGAAAATTAGCCTGATCAAACGTAGTCCATCAGCCAATAGCAGGCACAACATTTTCTGACCCTGGCTTGCAGCACAGTCTCACCACACGGACTCGGTGTGTAGATGAAAGCTTCTAGCCGACAACAAAGACCTTTCAGCGCAGTCCATCTCTCTTACCGAAATCAACATCACACTATCACACTGAAGATCTCCGGCAAAGTCGGTTTCATTGTGCCCTGAGTGGCACGCCATGGCTTGGCCAGCACGACAATGTTCCGATTGTGTTCGCAAAAAGATCATGTGATATCAGTCCGGATGGCAAACAAAGTTTCGAAAACAGGCTTGGGAAGGTCTGCAGGAGCATGGAACCTCCTTGTCGGTTCAGAAGTTGGATGAGCAGCAGACACGCCTTTAGACTTTGGAAGGATGCTTGCAGACTGGAGTGGCCGTTGAGCAGTGAAACCTCAGCCAGCTTCTGGTCAAAGCGCGTGGGGCCGGGAGCCTGCCCAGATGTTCCTTCTTCCCAAAGTTTAGGGTTCAGGGTACTTCAGCATGAGATTTGTTTGCCGTTGCAGCTACATCTGTTGTGGTTCTGCTTGCCTTTGTTTTTTCTGCTGGCACTTTCACCATGGCTTCTGCTGGGTCAGACATGCAGTTTCATATGGTGCAGGCGGGGTCACCTCAAATCTTTGCAAACTGCAGCGCAGCACGAAAAAAGATTTCCACACCGCAGGTGCGAAATACATTTCTGGAAGTGCAGACATCAGAGGACCTACGGGCACAGGTCAGTGTGCCTTGTTTCAGGCTGAGTTTGTTTGGCTCTCGTATGACACTTTGCCCCAAGAAAAGGACGTCGGACCCAAATCTATTCGACCACGGCGGAGCAAGAGTTGGAGCGGATCTTCTTCGTCCAACAGCTGCCACTTGGAAAAACCGCCTTGGCTCCGTCGGCTTTGAGAAGCACACAAGAGAGGTCGCCCTTGTGCCGAGCATTTCCTGAAGCCACCAGCCCAGGTCACGAAAACAGTTCCGGAGATGCTGAGAAAGAGCAGTGGTTCTCCGTGACCGTGAGTGGACAGGACTGGCAGGGTGCGAAAGTCACCGACGGTTATTGGCATATGTAGACTGGAACCGCTCCCTATGTCTGTTGCACGTGTACGAAGGCGGTGTTCATGTTTGGTGTCCACTGTGGACTGAATGCGAGGCGCACCACTCGGTGTTCGATGAGACCTTGCCTCAGGAGAAAGTATCGCAGTTAAGGTTGATTTCAGGGCACGCAACGGCCTTTCTGACGCCTTGGAGCCTTTCCTTGGTTTTTGTTGCCTTCCTTGGGCATGCTGAAAACACACTCAAAGCCATACTGTGCCTCATCCGACACCCAATAGCGCAATAATGCACTCTCGCGAAACCGTCTTCGGGAGGTGCGAAGAAACATCGCCCAGGAACTCCTCTTCATCTTCAGCTTTGGATCCCGACTCGTGGGAAAACGCTATGCAAGAGTTCAAGAACCCATGGGAGAGTGCTATGCATGAGTTCCAAAGCCGCTTGGCATGTAGTCTAGGTTTGCCCGTTGAGTTCGAGAGATGCATCAAAGCAGAACTTCTGCGGCCAAACTGCCAGGCTCATCACCAAGCCCGAGACGTTTGCCACCGCCTCCGCCTCCACCCAGGGATGGTGCCCAGGTGGTACCTGCAGTCCAGCTTCGGATTGAGGCACGCAGACCGGCTATGTGCTGCGGTCAGGCCTAGGATTCACCATGCCAGGGGTTCTAGCGGGCACATGCTGAACAACGGATGGGACAGCTTGCCAAAGAGTGCCCAGATGTCAGGAGCAAATAAATGACGACTATCAGCCGCAGTACGGACAGTCTATTGGCGCGAAGGCCTTGTGTTGGTGGCCTGTGGCATCCCGTGGCTTGAGATTTGCACTTCGTCCAAGTTGCAGCCAGAGGCTTGCCGAAACATATGCCGGGCATTATGAGAAAAACGCTCTGTCAGAAAAGCACAGGCAAAAGAGAACCCATGCGCCAGGGACATGGCCGCGGGAAATGCACGCCGTGCACCAGGATTTTGGTGCGACCAGGCCGCCGGACTGTTTTGGCGAGGACCGCGATTGTGTGGCATCCCATCTTGCATCCTGTTACAATGGCCTCTGTTGCATAGTGAAACGTTGCATGCGTGTGAGAGTCCTATGCTTCATCGAGAGGAAGCTTTAGAGACCCTCCAAGCAAGGAAGGGTTGAAGCCACGCTCTTAGATCCCCCCATGCACCTCGGTTTTCAGCCAACAGGAGCTGCCTTTTTGTGCCGATATAATTCCTGGCAGGTTCCCCGAAGCCACATTGACGTGGGAAAGGTCTAGGATAGTCTAGGACGAGTGACCAAAGGTTCGCGGGAGTCCTGCAAGGTTTAGGTGGAGAGGTGGTCCAGAGTCTAGCATTGGGAACGGAGCTAGGGAGCTGGACGTATATTTTTGAATGACATGAAAGAGGAGGAGCGAATGTCGCCCTTGGGGCTTGCGCATGTCGCACATTAATCTTCTGCAATGCCCGTCACCCATCTGCTTATGGCCGGTTACTCCATGAGACCATGGGAACATGAGCATGAACAGCTGGCAACTGGCAGGGTGCGAATTCGGTTCCCGCTGTATGTTCTGTCATCTTGCAACTTGGCTGGGAGATTTTGGAAGGTTCGCAGGAGCGTTGTGTGTGCATCGCGAGCACTGGTGAGCACACTGAGGAGCATTCCGATCAGATGGACAGCAGGAAGAATCGGCATCGCCCTTGCAAAGCAGCACGGCAACAACACAAACAGACGATCCAGCAGTTCGGCTGCAGCTACCAGCATGGCCACGCAGTCCAAAAGTGTTGTGTCGATGTTTCCGCTCCTGAATTCCTCGCACCGGCCCAGGAAAGTGTATGAGGAGTACAAGGCCGGCTCTTGCTGTGCATGCGTCCGTATGCTACGAGGTATTTTGGGCAGTTCGTGGGCCGGGCAACAAGAGCAGCGAGTGCCTCGTCACTTTGCAAGGACAACCCCGAGAAGAAGAAGAAGGCTCTGGAGAAGCCTGCTGCCAGCAATTATTGCAAGAGCGATGGAATCTCGCGAACTTAGAGGCATTGGCACATTGCGGATCCACGACAAGTAGATCCAATTCATGACCTGCCCTCTGACTTCACGTGGTGTAAGGATTGCAGGAGCAAGCCCATACATGCGAAGCCTTCTGAAGAGCTTGGGCGAGAAGGATGAAGAGGAAGTCCTTGCACACCTTGCCAGGGCTGCATCTTGTCTTCACGTGGGTGACTGAACTAGCACATATTTCTACGTGTGTGAAACTAGAACTGGGTCCCAGCAAGCTGCAGCTTCAGCGACACTACTGCAACAAAGCACTCAGGATGAAGCACTGCCGGCTCCGAAAGTGCCTGGGTTGCAGCCCCTGGGCGGCATCTTCGATACCTCCAGGATAGCACTTGAAGTGTCCGTACCGCTGCTTCATGGTTTAATTTGTGATGATGCATAGTGGCTTAGTGTAGCTTCCACTCGTTTGGTGTCCAGCAGACTGCCTGGGGACTGCCTTGCCAGACAAAAGACTTGCATCCCCGCCTCGATACCAGCCCTGGGTGAAGAGCCTGTTGACGATTCCGTTTTTGTGTGGTAACGAAGCTGAATCGCACTTGTTGGCCACCGAGATAGCTGCAGTGTTTGCGTGGAGTCAGTGCTTCACTCCCTCGCGCACTCCCGTACGTCGGAACGGAAGCAGACGGTAGGACAGTGTGGAGAGATGGGGCCACGAGGCATGAGCTCAGCAGTGTCACAAGCAAATAGTCAGGCCATCGGTTGTTTTTGTTCCTATCATCCTTTCGCCGCACAACGGAGGCCTGCCGACGATGTCAGGCCCAGCTCGGCATCCTCGGAAGATCCGGCCGACAAGAAGTCCAAGGCGCCTCGGTTTTTGTCAGCTTTTTTTCTTGGCCGAGCAGGCTTTGGAGGCGATGCTTCTTCTCTGCTCAGGGGAAGATTCTCATCTCCCTGTAAGCGTACCACGATTCACATCCACGTCAGACGCGGCCTCGGATTGGGGGCATCAGACGAGTCAAAGACGTACATTGGCGGGAACTCGCGGCTCGTATGGTGGCCTTGTGAACTTGTAACGCCGAGTCGGAGACTGCCTTTCCAAGGCTCGTCCAGAAGCCTGTGGCAGAGCCGGGCTCAGATAACGCGCATGCCAGACTCCAAGACAAGCGTGGGTGCCTCCACAGGTTCTATGCAAGCTTGCATCAGCTTGCGTAATGACAACTGAGAAGCACGAAGAAAGCGTGCATGCCCAGGCCCTCCCTTTAGCTGCCCGACTTCCAAGGTCCGCCGCAGGCGGTATGAGGTGCGCACGAACGACAAGCCAGGCCAAGCCAGGCCAAGAATGAGCAAAGTTACATCCAGACGGAATTGAGATGAATTGGGGTTGAAAGATGCATGTTCCTAGTGGTAGAATATGTTCTATGCCAAAACAGAGGACATAGCCGTCGTGGTATATCGGACCTTCTCTCGGCTCATGACTGCCAAAAGCAGACACAGATGAAAGATGCTGAGAGACTGTAATCGGTCCGTTTTTCATGCTTGCTTTGCCTTCTCGCTGGCTGGGGCTGACCTTTTCTGATTTTGATTCGTTGGTCGTGTGATTTGGAGTGTCCTGTAAGAAGAAAGCCTGGGAGCCTGAGCAGGAGGCTGCAAGCACTCTGTCGAGGAACTTAGTAGGCCACTTCCCGTCCGGATATCGAACATGCTAGGCTGGCATATGCAATTTCGTAAGGAATTTGGCTACACTCCCGGTCCTGTGATGGGACTTCTCGAATGCTGCCGGGAGGAGGTCGAAGCGATTCTGCCTTCAGAGATTTGGCCTTCCGCCTTGATCTATAGTGACTCCCAGAAAGTTGGGACATGGACATAGCATGATTAGTGCTGGGATCCCCTCTACCTCACCTTAAGGGCATGAGGAGAGTGATGTTCCAACTTTCGGGCTTCTACTACTTTCACAGAAACGGCTGCCGCCGGGCTTCCTGACTGTACTCCGAGCTTCACATGAACGGACATAGAGCTTCGGTAGAAAAGAGGAGCTGACCTTGAAGCCGCGAGCGGCAGTGGAATCAATTCTCCGACCTTTCGAGCTGACAAAAACCTGCAGGCTTGTCCTCAGGTTCAGAGCAGAGAAGCGGCCCACGAGGGCCTCCCTGCCAGAGTGGAACCCAGCGTGGGGTGCTTTTGCTCGGGTTTAGGGGTTATTAGGGGTTTAGGGTTTAGTTGCTAGGGTCAGAGTTAGAGTGTCTCGTGGTAGATGCGCAATTTGCCACAGCACAGAACTTCACGTAGTCCCGTAGGTCTATGGGCAGCCTGTTGGGACGAGGTGGCTCGGGTCGACCAAACCTCGTCACGGAAGGAGACATGGGGTGGGTCTTATAGAGACTTCAGGTACCACTCGCCTGGAATGGCCCTACCTGCGACAGTGCCACTCAGAAAAGGCTGAGGCCGATACCAAGTGAAACCACACTGCTGCCCAGAGCAATGCCTTCACTGGGGCTGCCAGGCCGAATTCTGTGGCCCTGCTAGGATTGACCTTTCACTTCAAGCCTTTCGAAGGCACACAAAAAGTCTAAAGCCCGGTTCAGCAGCAGGCCTCGCCAGATCACAGAGAAAGGCACGAGAGACCGAACAGTGTGGCCCGTCGACGTGAAAAATGTCGAGCGTTTCGAAGGCAAAGGTGGCGCGAAACCACTGGAAATGCAAATCCACGCCTCCTCAAGAACCCTTAGAAATCTGGGGTGCCCAATATTCAGAGAAGGAGCACGTAGAAGCCCATGCGAATTGTACGATGAATCTGGTATTTCCTGATCACAGCAAACTCTACGTAAACGTAAGAAACTGCAGAGTGGGAAGCTGTCAAGCCTCAGAGCTATCGCATACTCGTAGTCCTTAGTGACAAAAGCCATGTAGGAATCGTCCTTCGACGACTGGTTCATCGTTTTACTTATGGGATAGGAGGTCGCATGCAGATTTTGCTCGGCCTGCTTCGAACATGCATGCAGTAATTGGCTCACCCTGTAGGAATCCAACTTACTCGACACTGGTTACTCATGTTCGCTTAGGGCTTAGTCTTTTGATGCTAGCTCTGTGGGCTAGTTGCACGAGTGAGACAGATTTTGCTTGGTGGGTTGCAGTCATGATAACCACACCTATCTAACCTCGCTGTGAGCTTTGTTCTCTGCCATGCGAGAGGGAAAATCGCATACTCGTATCGCATGGCATCTCGCTTGCTTTTTGCTCTTGGGTCCTGCTGCAGGAAGGCTATTGCCAGATGCTGCGACAATACTTTTATTCTCCTGCTGCCGGCTAGGGGTTTCTCCTTACACCGGGCACGAAGCACTGCAGCAGATACTGTCTTGCACCGGAGAGCTACGCTAGTTACCGCTAGTTGAGATGTGCAAGTCACAGGATGCTCTTAGTGCTGGACCGGTTTGGCGGCACTCGTCCCCAGCGGCAAGACTCCGAACCTCAAGAAGGGTTTGCTGATCATGCTTGCTGCCGAGTAAAGCCCTGGAAAAGCCTGGAATGCTAGGCATCCAACTCGTTTGCCCCACCTCCCGCTTAACTGGCTTAGAGTCATCATCATGTTCTGGTACGATAATCAAGATGTGATTGTCGCTGTCAATCCTAAAGCATCCAGACTCCAGGAAGTTCAGGCATGCATTCGACATTTCTCGCTTGGGGAGCATGCAACAGCTAGGTAAACCTATCGGCCACCTTGTTTGCAGCACTGCTTGCCTGTTGCACTGCTTCCAGCATGGCACCAGTTGCGGTGCAAGAGCTTTTACACCCGACTTTCCGCCGACATTGAAGTGCGCTTTTCTGCCTTGCTTTGTTGCACTTCAAAGCAAGAGCTGCTTCTCTTAACAAGTTGCAGGAACACTTGCGCCAAATTGCCCGCACTGGCAAGCAAGACATTGAAGGCGATTCCGGCTGTGTTCACGAAAAAGTGCCACCCTGCCGGTGCAGCAGCCGGAAACATGAGCTGCTACAGGCACAGGTGTAGATTTGGCAGACTAGGCAAGCGTCAGTTGCCGTTGGGGAACAGTCGATCTGTGGACAGATGCTTCCTCACAAATGTTCTGTCAGCCAGTCAGGCCCCTTCACACTTCGATTCCACCTGGTTCCTCAGTGACGCCCCACCCGACGGGTCCCTTGCCCCTGACCATGATTGCTGCATCCGGCGACCTTGGACAATCGCTCCATTGTTGGTTCAGTTTCTCCTGCAAGATCACATTGTTCCAAGTCAACCTTGTCACTCAAGCTGCCGGAACGTACACCGATAGGAGATGGCATCGAAAGCAGCTGTGCTAGAAGCAAGCTCAGCATCACAGGTCTTCGATGTAGCGGGCTCGTGACTACTACAACTATCCCAACATAAAGCCAGTGATTGCGTTTGGCCATTAGGCCTATAAGGCACTTCCAGCATGGATTCGTCGGGCTCATCCGACATGCATTTTCACATGCTGCAGGCGGGTGCACTCGGCCATGTTCCTGACAAAAAGACAGCCAAAGCCAAAGGCTCGAATCCGCATGTTGCAGGTGAGGAACACGTTCCTGGAAGTTCAGACACAGGAGGACCCGACTGTCGTGCAAGATTGCTACGCTCGGTCTCAGGGTCCGCGCACACTGATGAAATACTTGCCGCTGGAACATGCCGGTGCGCAGAGCGATTACATGTTTGTAGGGCCTGTGCGGTAACTCAAAGGATCTTTGGTGAGACACGCACTTGGGTGTCGTTTCCATCATGTTTCGAGACCTAGATGTTGGTGCTTCAGCATAGCACGAGCTCTGCTTGCTTTAGCTTCCATGCATTCGGAGCGAGACATTGGCAGACTGGCAGCATGAGCAAGCTTCTGTGGCCCTGCGGGGGGACTGTCGCCGCAGGACGTCGACCGCAAGTCTGTTCGGCCGCGGAGCAAGAGCTGGAGTGGTTCCTCTTCGTCCAACAGCTGTGCCTTAGCTCAGAATCAGATGTTATTGGGCATGGGTTTGATTATCCAGCGTCCCTCCGGCTACCATTGTTGAAGAAACACTCGCAACGACAAGTAAGAAAGCACAATGATCGGCTCCATGTTACTGTTGCGGGCAGCCACCAGGTCACGAAAACAGTTCCGCGGATGCCGAGAAAGAGCAGTGGTTTTCTGTGGCTGCCGGTGGACAGGAGCGTGGTGTGCATTCTGCTTGCAGTCCAAAGTGGATCAGTTGGCCGGATGTAGGAACCTGAGTTCTCATAAGAACACGAACGACAGTAGCTATGCCGTGACGGAGCGTTTCGACAACCGGAGTCTGACAGGCGCACCACTCGGTGTTCGACGAGACCTTGCCTCAGCGGGTAGCAAGCAGAAGTAGACGAACATGAGGTCTGCAGCTGCATGCTTTTGTTGAATTGAAAGCAGCTGGCCAACTGGCCCCATTACCTCGTGCTTTCAATTGGCCTCTCGTGGACAGTGGGAAGTGAGCCAGAAACAACACACCGTTAGGGCTCGATCCGAGAAGGAGGGGCGGACTGACATGAGTCTGCCTACAAGGCTGTCAGCTTGAGTCAGTGTTGTTCCATGGATGGCTCCTGGCGTCTTCATTTCTGCTAGTCAAAATAACTCACGGTCAACAAGATGTCAACAAGCAGCGCCTCAGATCTCTCAGCGCAGCGATCGCCTAGGAACTCTTTTTCATCTTCATCTTCAGCTTTGGAGAGCGAAAGTTGGGACCATGCCTTACACGAGTTCAAGAGCAGCTCGGCTTGGTTTGCAACTTCAGGGGATCCGACCATCCGATCCCAACAATCACATCAGCTCGCCGCAGCTTGCCGAGCCGTGCGCAGCAGCTCTATACTGTCAGGTTCATCATCGGCCAGCTCTCGACGGCAGCCGCCCGCACCCAGAGATGATGCGCAGGCAGCACAGGCGGTTCAATCCCGGATGGAGGCCATTGAGGCGAGATTGGGACAGCACAGGTGTCTTGCACTGTCTTGCCGTGTTGAGATCAGATTGTCACATGTCCGATGTGCGATGCAAGCCCACGCACGTCTGCACGACTGATACTAAAGATGACAGGGGTTGCTTGACGATGACTACCAGCCAGAGTACGGGCAGTCCGTCGGCGCGAAGGCCTTGACGTTGGCTTGTCGGGTGGTGATTCACAGACTGCTGACGATGAGAGATGCTAGAGATTCGCAGAAATTTGTCTCCGGCACCAGGGCGCGTAAAAGCAACTGCGTGCCAGAAGTGTATCCCACTGGCACTACAGATAATTTGCCTGCCAGGGACATGGACGTGGAAAGTGTACCCCATGCACCAGGATTTTGGTGAGACCAGGCCCGGACAGGTACTTATGGCCAGCCTGCATCTTTGTGTGGCGTAATTTGGCTGGCCTTCGTCAAAAGCATCCTATGAGTCATGTGGGTGGTAAATTAGGGTCCCTCTCCCAGCCCAGTTGCCAGCTCCTGGAAGTCCTTCAACACAGCCGTGAAGCTGATGTCCATGGCGCTCCTGATCGCTCTCCCTACAGTTCGGCACGAACCCCACGTCTCCAGGTCCCTAAAACCCCATTTTGGCTCAAGCCGTTGTGGCTCAAGATCGCCGATCAGCTGGCTGAGAGCGCCCTGGAGACCCCCGGTCTTCCGACCCCTTGGCTCTCCCAATATAATATAATATACTGTGCTATACCATACCATAATATAATATAATATAGCATAATATACATAACTATATATTTCATATTATATTTTTTTGTTCCGAGGCCAACTTTTTTTTACCGCTCTTCCAGCTTCCTCGCGGCTAACACGGCAGGACCTGATGATGCGACCTTGTTGTTGGCCGGGGGTTGCGAGAGACCGGGTGGAGGGCACGGAGATGGATCATGAGGGAGAGGGTCATACGCCCGGCAGCGGGGGGGAAGTTGTTGGGCGGGGAGGACTTGGAAATGCGGGCAGCAGCACACGAGGCTCTCCAGGTGGCTTTGGAGGGGTGTGGGGGGGATGCTCCTCAGCTAGGGGCTGGTATCGCTAGGGCCTACTTGGGAGAGGAGACTGGGAGTGGGGCGGGTGATGCTCACTCAGATCTGAAAGCCTCGCGTGCGGAAGCTGCGATTGCTGCTCAGAACCTCATGAAAACATCCCACAAGCCCCAGAGCAGCCCCGGGAAGAAAGCCAAACCTGAGAAGCCTGCAGCGCCGGAAGCCGCCTTAGTACTTAAGGGCCCCCCTGTAGGCCTACACATAGGGGCCGAAGCTCCCCCTCCTTGGGTAGCCCAGCTTCGGGATGGACTTGCTAGGCTAGACCAAGATCAACAAGAGCACCTGCAAACCCTTCACACGAACAGAGTACCATCCGCTCCATTGCTGATAAGGTTCAGAAGTTCAGACCTTAGAATCGCGTCAGGACACTCACCTAGAAAGGACTGCAGCACTGCAGGCCCGTCTGGTAGCAATGGAGCATTCCCAATGAAGTTGGCGGCCCTCTTCGACTGAGGATCGGATCACTTTTGTAATCAAGACCTGTGATCTTTCACAGAACTTGAAGATATTTTGACGGCCAACCTTGAATCACTAGCAATCCGGATGAGGATCCAGGTCATCAATCACCTTGATCTGTCTCGAGACTAAGCACTGATGCACAACAGAGATTGAAAAGAAAAACCTTCCTCAGCGGCATCTGCTAGAGCAGAACAACTGGTCAAAAAGGAAAAGAACTCTTCCAAAGCGCGGGACAAGACACCAATGCACCTGGAGCGCAAGAAGGAGTCGCTGGACTGCGCCATGCCCTTTCAGCCACGGATGCAGCACATCTTACGATTTCGGAAGGAGAGGTGGCCCACAAAGAGGATACAGGCCGCCCATGAGGCAGTGCAAAGGACGACAACATCCATGGACCGTGTGTGGCGGTGGATCGAGGAGAAGTTCGCCCCAGATGATAGGAGGAAGCGGCCATGCGCCCCAATACACGGGGATGTGCCCGCCACGTCTCCACAACTACATGATGCAGCACGTGAACGCCCAAATGCTCCCGCCTCACACGACCGTCCTGGCACAAAGGCACCCTTTGCCTGCGGAGAGTGGCCACCAAGGGGACTCGACCCTTTTTCAGGTTCTACAAGCACCGCATATTCTCGAACGGCTGATGCCTTTCTTGACTTTCTTGGAACAAGAGACAGCTACTATGATACAGGCGGCCCGTAGCTATCTTTTCCAATGGACGACTGCACCTTGGGGTACTCCCATAGCATCGCAGATACACAAGTGGAGGGCTCGGCGAACGTCTCCAACCTAGGGGGCAACCCCTCGCCTGTACCAGCTTCAGAGGCAAGCACAGTGCCAGCCTTTGTTGACAGCCCGGGTTCGACCAGCTCGTCGAGCGCGTCACTGAGTGAGTGAGTGAGCGCGTGTAAGTGATAGTGAGAGTAAGAGGAGTACGAAAGCAGAGAGAGGCGTCGCCGAGCTGCTAAGAGGCTCCAAGGCCGTCCACTCACTTATCAGTACACGGCGAGAGGGACGGGGCGGGCCTACGGCCTGCGGGTCGCTGGACGACCCCTGAGCCCTGCGGAAAGAAAGAAAGAAAGAGAGATCCGTATACCACATCCTTACAGTACTGTGATTCGCTGGCTTAGTGCTTGCTGCTTGCCCCTTGTGCCGTGGTCGGAGCCTCAGAATTGCTTTCAGCACTGAAGTCCAACAGTTCTCATGTTTGTGCAGCTGATGTTCTTGAGCACTCTTCGAGCTTTACAGATAGAGGCATGTCGGCATGCAGGGGGGAAATCCAAGAAAGTGTTAGAGTCACTACCTTGTCGTCTTTGTTCGTTTGCCAAGGGGGCATTTCCCTACTAGCCCGTTGTCCAGCCGAGCCGATGAGGGGAAACCCCTTCGTCGGAAGCTCCAAAACCCCGCCAGGACTCCCAGGTGCGCGTACGCGTGCGGGGGGGGGTTAGCTGCCGCTGCCCCTCCTGGCCCGGTAGAGAGAGAGAGAGAGAGAGAGAGAGAGAGAGACAGATCCGTAGCCACTTTGGCTCATGTACTACACCTGTGCTTGGGGGCCTGTGCCGCCCTCTTGTTTTAGGGGGGGAGGACGGAGAGTTAACTCGAGGTTGTGCCCTCGGGGGAGCTTTTCCGTTCGACCCAGTGGTGCTTGAGCTCCACGCCCGTCGCCACTTTGCTTAAGAGGCCCCCAGTCCTTCCCGCGCCACTCCAGATCCTGAAAGAGGCCCCTCTTCGGGGGGTGGCCCTCTAGTAGGGGGACGGAGCATACTTTTTCGTGGCGGAACCCTTGCTGATCATCCTGGCTGCTTGGGGGAGATCAATGGCAAGCCCCAAGGTGAAAACCACTTGGGAAGACCAGTTGAGGTTGGCCAAGCGATTGCGAGAGATCGGGGTGACCTGCAAAACATGTCTGCAAGGACCGTGGTATCATAAACCTCATGATGGGGGAGAAGGCTGCTATAAGCATATGATCTCCGCGGGCAGCGTCAGCAGCCCCATGAGTATTGCGGACTTGCGAAAAAGGGGGGAAGCGTCAACGGCTCAAGCCGCCGAACCTGCTGCAACGGGGGACTACACCACCGCCAAGAACTCACAGAGACCTTTGTCCGAGTATGTTAGGTTTGAGACAAAGGAGGGGATGGCGCTTCTTTTCCACCCAAGCCCTTTGGACAAGTGGATTGGGAAGAACTACAAGTGGGACAGCAAGCACCAGCACCACGTCGACCCCAGCACGGGGGGGGATATTGTCGCCAGAGGAGAGCGAGGACTACCGCCGCTATCTCCAACGATATAAGGAGAGAAAGCAAACGGGGGATCAAGCCGACAAGCTGGTCAAGTTGGTTGGCAAATGCAACCCGGCGGTGGAAGAAGAGCTCAGAATCTACATCGGCAGATTCCCGGGGGAGATTCGCACCTTGCTTGCCCGTGGAAAGCAAGTCTATAAAGAAGTCCTG